GAGGAACCTGCGGGGGTAGTTGATCTTTGTTCGGCGCACTCAGGATGATTGGGAAGTGATCACTCCCATAAGGGTTTTTAAGAACGTTCCACTTAAAAACAGGTAAAAGGGACGGTGATGAAATGCTAAGATCTATGGAGGAGTATGTGTTGTTTGCAAGGCTAAAATACGTAGGCTCCTTCATATTTAAAAGACATAAACTAGAAGAGAAAAGGAGCTGCTCAATGAGACGTCCTCGCGCATCACAGTGAGCATCGCCCCACAGGACATTGTGTGCATTAAAATCACCTAGAACCAGAAATGGCTCTGGGAGTTCATCTATTAATGATTCCAGATCACGTCTGTGTAGCTGTTGATGCGTTGGTATGTACACAGAACATATGGTAATGAGTTTGTTAAAAAGTACAGCTCGAATGGCCACTGCCTCCAGAGCCGTTTGGAGCTTCAAATGCTGGCATGCTATACTACGATCGACTATAATGGCTACACCGCCAGATGGTACGACAGGATCCTCCCGGTCTTTTCGGAAAATAATATATTGTCGTAGGAAGTCCTTGTGCTTAGGAGTTAAGTGCGTTTCTTGCACACATAGCACTTTCGCGTTAAACTTACACAGAAGTTCTTGGACGTCATCTAAATTTCTAAGTATTCCCCTTACGTTCCACTGTATGATTGTGTCCATAGTAAAAAAAAAAAAAGGGAAAAAGTGCTGTGTGCAAAGAAGACGGGGATTAACTCATTTTACAGGGCCTTTGTCAGGCCCTGTAATCGGCGTTCTGTCCTTTTTGGGGCGGTCGAGCGAAGCTCGCCGCTCCTTCGGCGCTTCCTGCAACGTTTGGCTTGAGCTGGTGTCCATAGCCTCTTGCGAGGCACTGGACACCCGCTCTAAAGAGCGATCTGTGCGTCGCTTAGACTTCGCCTCGATCGACGAAGTCTTTGTCCCCACCGAGCTGGGGGTTGATGGAGCCCCCTTGGCCTCGTGATTGCCCTGGCTGCTGCCAGAGCTTGTAGAGGTCACTGGTGTGGACAGGCTGAAAGTGGGCAGGGCAGCGCTGGCTGCTCCCGCCGCAGGGGCTTGTGGCATTGGCCTCGGCACGCTAGGCGCGGTCCGGGCAACTGCCAAGGGTCTTTGTGGTGCCGCCCCTCGTTGCACCACTTCGGCAAAAGGTGTTTTTAGTGCTAATGATAACGAGACTCGTTGTCTTGCTTCCCTGAATGTGATATTTTCCTTAACTTTTATAGTTATTATTTCTTTTTCTTTTTTCCAGGCTGGGCACGCTCTGGAGTATGCGGGGAGTATGCGGGGCATTTGAAACAACGCCTCGGGTTTGGAATGAAGGGTCGGACATGGAGTTTTACATAGCCAGTTTCGAGAGTCTCGGGTAAAGTGGTTGAGTTGAAGGTGAGTATCAAGTGCTTTGTTGCTATTTCATTGTTGTTACGTCTGATTTTGATGCGCTGGACTTGTATTACACCTTGATCCTTCCATCCATCAAAGAGCTCTTCTTCACTCAGTGTCATCAAATCTTCGTCCGATACCACGCCCTTCATTGCGTTCATGGTACGGTGTGCGCTCACAGAGACAGGGATGTTACCAAAGGCCACGAGGTGCGAGAGTTTATTGTACTGTTCCTTGTCTTTGAATTCGAGAAGCAGATCTCCACTTGCCATCTTCGTGGCCTTATAACCGGTTCCAATGGTCTCTCTCAAGCACTTGGCCACAAGGAAGGGTGAGATTGCTCTAGCTTTTGTAGATGATTGTTCGCAGTGGAGGACATGGTATTTTGGGAAAGTTTCTATGTTTTGGGGCCAAAGTAGGAAAGTTGCGTCGGTGCGTACCCTTTTCGAAGCACGATCAGTTAAAGAGGGGGTCGGGGATCCCATGAGAAAATGTGTAGTTTTCGGTAACGGTGCCTACCACCCACCACGGAGTCCAACAAGGGGACGTGGCAAAGCATGTGGGCATGTCTGCGCAACGCCAGCAGTACGCAGTTACTATAACCCAATATGGTTTACCCTAGTTTGGATAGCCACACAAGGTTAACCCTTGCCGCCAGGAAAAATTGGAAGTGAAATGAAGTGAGGAGAATACAGGAAAGATGTAAAGTGAGAACAAAAGACGAAGATGTAGGGAGAGAGAGCTAGGAAAAGGCGACTGCCGATTTCCCCTGGGTGGGTCAGCCCAGAGGTGCCGTCTACGTGAAGCTGGGGCCAAAGGGGTGTGTTGCCACTGCCGGGGGGCCTTAAAGGTTCGATCACCCAGCGTCGGCTCAACCCCCAGGATCCCCTTTTCCCCGGACACGGCAAAGCCACGCACGGCTAGGCGTGGGAGGGAGTCAAAACTCCCCCGTTAGCTCGGGTCCGTGGTGTCGCTACACACCAAACGCCTACTTGCGCAGGCGCCCCTGCGGGGGCACTGCAGAGCAGGCTATCCCTGAACAGGGCCCTATAACATTACATCACTCGCTCTGTTGCACCTGGCCGTTGCAGCTACAGATGGGAATGAGCATAGTTTTTATGGACTAGTGAAAGCACTTGCTGCTTCATGAGAATAGTTTTCTTTCGTCGAAAAGGAATAGCATCATCGCTGCTCTGTCGCCTATGGGTGTGATGAATCCTTTTCAATATTTTGTTTTGCCATACTGAAAGAGCAAAAAGAAAGGAGGTTTACGCTTCAGTCTCCGATCAACCAAATCAGTGATCAGCCTTGCTTATGGTACCTTGTAATGGTGGCAGCAGCTTGCAATGTGGCAACGAATAAAGCAGTGGATTCGAGCAGTGGGAAGCCAAACTTTATATCTTTCTCTGAACTTGATCCCACGAAGCAGTCCCTGTTTTTTTTTTTGCACTGAAGAGACTTAATTAAGAATCTGGCTAGTTGGTTTTTATTCAACTTGAATTGGATTTTACAGCTCCCCATAGAACTCTCACAGCAAAGAAGCACACACATGCAGCGCTGCTTATTCCTCTCTCTCTCTCCACAAGGATAAGTTATTTGTATTTATGCAGAGAGTTGTGAGGTGATGTATAAAAAATCACCGCCATATCTATTAAGTGATGCGACGTGAGAGGCGCTTGCTCGAAGATGTATTGCGCAACCTGTGCAACCTCTGTACACATCTATCACCGTCATATATAGATGTGGCAACGTTGGTATATATCGCAGCACTGCCCATTTGCATGTTCCTGCGCATACCCCATACTTTGAAGTAGAAAACTGTCTTGCTCGTAATTTTTTTATGCAATCATAACCATAATGCACACGTGCCTATTTTTATTGATAGTGGCATAATATATGACATATTTATGACGATAATAGTTTAGCACGTGTTCGCAGTCCTTGCCGAACTCATGTATTTAAAATGTTCGTTTTTGCGTGTATCCTGTTATGCCTGACAAATGCAGGCTGTCCTGCCGAAACTTTGGAAGAAATTAATATTTTTGCACGTTCGTCTGTGTCATTGTGTGTGTGTGTGTGTGTGTATATATATATATATATACATATATATATATCTATATATATATATTCCTGACGAAGGCCAGACTCTGGCCGACCACCGAAACTGGCATGTCCCCCAACTCGTGACAGAGTTGGTACGCTACTGCACCACTGCCTGGGTAATACATTAGAGTGGAAGGACCAGCCTTCCAGGTAAACTAAGCTAATCTTGGAGCTTGTAGACACCGAAAGAACTGCGACCGTTTTCCCCCCTCATTGATTGCCTAAGTCACACCAGGTTGTTTGTTTCCATTGCTTCTTACGCGTATGTTGCACACATCTAATTAAACTACAGCTCTACCTGATTCCTCTGAGGTTTGACAGTTTTTGAATGGATAAAAGAATGATTTACTGAGTGAATCAAATGAACAAATGCTTGAATAGGCAAAGGACTGAGTAAATGAATAGATTAATGAAGAATGTCAACTTAGCGAAAGAGATATAGGGAATAGGGAACTTGTTGCAAAAAACATCCTTGGTCCATTGGTCTAAGGAATGGGAAAAAAAATCTAACCATGTATGCTCATCACATGCAACATGATAAAACATGACGAATATTAAAGGGCCTCTAAACCACCCAGAAGTCAAAATTCAGTTGTGGTGGGGAAGTTGTGCGCAAGTGTACAACGAACACAGAGCCGTGAGAATTCTTCGAAATGGTGCCGTAATAGTGGAGTTAGACGAGTTTGGTTATCAAAACACGGATATTGCTGCATCGGCTTTTTCTTCACTACCCCTCTCTGGTATCCTCTTTGAAAGCCACCTTGCACTCTTGCCTGGCGTCCGTCTGGCTGTTTCTCGGTCCATCAAGCGCTTTTTTCTTTGCCTCCTTAGCTTATCCCCCCATACACTTTTTAATTCATCTTTTTTTACACTCCTTTCATATCTCTTCTCTCAACTTTTTTTTTTTTGTTCACCCTCACTGTCCTTTCAGTCCCTGTTCCCCCAGGATCATATCAATTGAGGTGTCCTCCCATGAGAGACAGTTATCGTGCACTCTACACCCCATTTTCTTACCTTTATGTCTTTTCCTGAAAAATCACTACCCTTCCCCTTGAACTGTCACATGGCATGCTCTATTAGGCACGCACATGCAGTCTGTGTGTGCCTAAAAGAATGTGTGCTGCAGGAAGCTGGTGCATGCGGGCAAAACGACAAACAACAAGCAGTATAGAATAACTGGTTGCGCGACCAATCGCAGCATGAATGAAATGCGCAAGGCATCCGAATGCACTGCACTGCGCGTCACACAGAGATCAGAAAGGCCTGAAAAAGAGGGGGGATTGATTCTTCAAATTTGTGGCACACCGGCGGCTCGTAGAGCTGTTACGTGCGATATCTTTGATCATGACGGCATTCTGCATACGATGGGCATGTTCACTTGAAAAATGTTTAAAAAAATTTCGGAGGTGGTTTAGGGGCCCTTTAATGTTGAGAGGCACTCCTCTAAATGGTACCGATCAATCAGTCAGCGACAATGCAGGCAACGCTGATGGCTGACCTTTCTCCTTCCTGGGGTTGCCACGGCGGATAGCCCGTCGGCCCCCATCGATTTTTGCGGACGCATGGTTGTTCATGGCATCCTCCTGGGGGCTGTCCTCCTCCTCCTCCTCTTCTTCTTCTGTGAGACCAAAAAAGAGGACAACTCACACTTTTACGCCTGTCGAGAACAATGCAGGAGTGACACTTTCTCAGCCACACAGGCTTACAGTAAACAAACACACAGAGCACACAGCGTTCCTCGCACGTATTAGGGCAAAAGCATCAGGTGCCTTACAGCGTGCAAAAAAGTGATCGTCTTTATCAGCATAAGTTATGCACAACATCTTCATTATGTGATGATGTCACCTTATTACATTATGTCACAGGTCACCCCAGTTTGCAGTCACACAATGACGTCATTAGATGACATCCCTGCTTGATGAAAAGTGGATCAATCATCAAGACACACACATTGGATGTGCAAAGCTTCTGGATGGGGGAATCGCTATGCCCCTAACTTAAAAGAAAAAAAGATGGCTTTCGTGTTTCAGTCATCTTAGGCACATGCATAAAACTGTGTAACTTTTTTTTTCTGGGACTTGAGTAGAAGGCAGGGCAGTACATCAAGCAAGACTGCCAGTGTGTTTGATGGGCAAAGCAAGAATGCTAAACCATTATTAATTCTGAAAAAAAATTAATGACACACTGATGCTTCAGTAGCTGTACATGTTGTTCCTTCCCATTTGGCCAGTTATTGTTCCATTCCTTCAGCTACCAGTTCGTCCCTTGAAGATGCAGTTTCACCATATTACGCCACTAAAACCTATAAAACGAGCAGAGATTTTTTTTTTTTTTCGTTCTTCACGCAGTCCAGTGAAGTCTGAAGAATGCACAGCCCATTCGACAAATATGCAGAGATATTTCATGCAAGGAAGCATCAACTATTTGAAGTCAGGCTACTGATCCATCTAGCAATTCGCAATTCAGAAATAGGTGATTAAGAACACTGCCACAAAAACGAAGACCCACACATACATTAGCAAAATCTAACTCACAGCCACCTACTTCTATATTTAATTTGCTAAAACCTGAAATGCGCATTGTCTAAGCTTTGTAACTTTCTATTCAAGTGACTAGGGGACCTTCCACAAATTATACCATAGCTTGCTCGTGTGCTGGAGTATGTTCAATCTGTCTAGTGGTTACAAAGAACGATGTGATTTTGCCCAAGAATGTACAGTCATACCTTTTGACTTAAACAACTTCTGATCATTAGAGCAATTATAAAGTTCTGGAACGATATCCCAAGATTTCAATTCCACCCAGCACACAATGGACATGTTTCATTTAAAAGTATTCGACGTAAGAATTGCCAATAATAACCATTATGTGCTGTAACACTGGAATGAGAACACCCTCGAGTACCAATTTGCTTCCAGTAGTCCCTGATCACATAATCGGCTATAGATTTCCACATTTCTGAGTGTTTCATTTTGTTGAAGTTTTCAGAACAGACAAAGAATACTAGTAGTGGAGGAAAAAACGAAAGAAATATTTTGGTGAGTGCAGGAGATGAAATAGCCTAGACCAAGTTCATTCATACACATAAGAGCAATATTTCTGTCAATCTCCAAGATCTGGTCATAATTTTTGTTTTTCACTATGGCTTGCAATAAGATTATTTGTTTAGGGCTTTTTCAGCGAAAATAAAAATAAATAGGAACTTGGATAATTTGGCTGTCTAACTGATCTTACTGGAATTAGGACCACACACAGCACCTTCTTTCTTTGCACAAAAATTACTGCATTGTTCGGTTACGGTATAACAACATAAACAAGTTTTACTTTCTTAAGCACACCGGGGAAGACAATGAACAGGAAGCACAGGAGGTGGTCAAAGAGTGTGACCTAATTGAGATGTCCCCATTTTTTCTTTTCATTAAAAACAATGCGAGGACGATATCCCACAGCGTGACACGATCGGGTTGAAAAGACGCCGAGTCACCGCAGCACAGCCAGGCACAACGGCGAACTGCCGATTACACGAGCAGCGCGCTTCATCATTATGCACCGCAGTACAGGTTGCAACAATTACCGAACGGTGCGAGGCAAATTTAATAGCCGAAGGCGATCACACTAACAGCCTCCTTTAACCACGACGGTGAAGCAGCTTGTCCGGTCATACCCGTGCCTAATTAAATTATGTTTTTAAAGAGATGTATATACGCAAGCAGAGCGGTCGGACACATCTTTGCACCGCGCTCCGGTGCCACTACGGAGAACAGCTGACTTCAGAAATGCATCGGCGCACCCACCAGTAGCTGCCCCCACCCAGGGGGTCCGTGCAGATCACGCCATACAGGGAACAAATCGGAAGCAAAACCACCGCGTCGAACATAAACAAGGGCATCCGCGGCAGCGCAACAACGCTCAGCTGCTAGCGGCACTCGCCGTGACCTCGGTGACAAGGCGGGAGACGATCGGGTTTGCACAGGGTCAAGCAGTGACCCTCAAAAGAAAAGCTCACATGACGTTCGGGGGTCAGCCCGCCGTCGTAGCTCCCAGCAGTACGGCGTGCGGCATCCCATGCATGCTTCTTCGCCGCACAGGCGTCTTCCACCGCGGCGTGTCTTGCGGAAACGCGACGCACCCGATGCCGTGGAGCGACGGCTGTCCCTACTCGATGCGACAGGGGTTTTTACCGCGACTTCACACACACACGCACAGCACTGCGAAGACTGAAAACGGGCTTAGTAGGGCGCCAAACCGAAAACACGCCCAGTCGCTGCTGCAGCCGACCGCGGCCAGTCTCAAGCGAAAACCGCCAGGGCACTACTGTCGCTAGAGATGCGTAATTTATGCTGATTTGAGGCAGCCGGATACAACAGTTCGAAAGCAACAATGAAAGAAATATATATTTGTTTGATTTCAACAATTAGTAAAATAGCGTCTGAGTTTCCGTGGGCGCACCCTGGCTGCACCCATTGTTGCAATGAAGAAAAAAAGAAAAACATACAATGCATGGACATTTCAAACTCTTTCATCTCGCTTGCTGGTATTACAGCCCTATCTATCAAATACGAGACAAATGTCTTAGATCCCAAGAAGGAAAAAAACAGGAAATTCCTCTGAATCCGCTTAATCGCTTTACTCATTCGTTTTATTTCTCATGCCCCTGTTTAATTCCTTTTTTTGTGTGTGTGTGGGTGGGAGGCTCACGAGCTAAAAATTGGGGGACCCTTAAACTTCGTTTTTAAAAGTTGAACGCGATAGCGATATTCTGTTCCTAGTGCACACTTCAAACGCAAAGCGTATAAATCTTTTCTAAGTTGCTAAGCACCCATGAAGTGGCCATAAGGGTGCAGTCGCGCGTGTGCTTTTTGTAGTGGGTGACTGGCTTTAACTATGCAGTCATGATAATTTCATGTGCTGACACCCGATGGCAATGTACGCTTGTATCACGCATGATTACGGCAGTATTTTGTATTGTGATGTAAAACATGTACACACGAAGCGTGTGTTTGTAATGTATGAACGTTACTCTCACTGATTTCCAAGCACAGGAAGTTATTTTCACTATATTCACAAGCAGTGAACAAAAGAGGCGATGTTGAACTGCGTGGTTGAAAACCAGCTTGTCTCGCAAACGACCCGGGTTCTAGTCCCACTTAGACCCAATATTTTCTCATTCTTACTTTATTTGTATCTTTCTCTATTTTTCAATCACGCAAACATGAAGATTTTTTGCTCACAAACAACGATATCGTCGCCAGAATGTCTGCGAAACGAGTTTTCTAACGCTATCGCGTTAAAACAAACCAATGCCCCCCCCCCCCCCCCATCCCCGAAGGGGTTCGTGAGGAAATGCAAATGCATTTTGCGCTGAGAGAGGGCACCATTGCCGTCAGACATTCGCCTTCACCGACTTCTGCTATCGCTTTGTGAGGGGCCCAGCCAGCGAACGGTCAAGAGTGTGGAACGAGCGCACGGGAGAATGGGGAGCCAGCGTTCTCGGCTCTCCCTTGGCGTTTCACAGCGGCGTATTGAGCACACCTTCCCGGATGTTCTTGAGATGCGCCCAGTCAGCTAACGGTAGAGAGTGATGCGCGAGTGGACGGGAGAGTGGGGCACAAGGAGGAGAGAGAGGAAATGACAAGTGAAGGAGCGGCAAAGCACTGCGCCTACCCTCTCCTACACACCCTCGCAACACATGCTCCGCTTGCTAGGGGCGAGGATAAGCGCGCGCCCGCAGCTGAGCTATGGGAGAGGGAGAGCAGAGAGATTACACCTGCCGGCGCACGGCCGCCGCCGCAATAACTGCACCGTGCTCCCGACCGGGCTGCAAAAATGAGCTGCCTTTCTCTTCTTCTAACCACTACCACCCACAACGCTGGATGCCTGACATAACCCGACTAAGAAATGCATTCGCATTTTAAAAAATGGCAGATCCCACGTACAGTGGGAATCGATGATATGCGAAGCACGAATGAGAAAGGTTTATATGTCAGTTTAATATCAGAACAACGTTACGAGGCCGAAGTAAATTATGCCGATACATAACTTTCATGTCACGATTATCATGTTTGGACGTATCATTTACCTTCGTCATCTATTCACGTCACCTGATACCTAATTTGCTGTATGTTGAGCTAGCGAAACGGCCGCGAGCGGGCTATGAGCGTAGCATGTAGTCATGTTTTACATGACAGGTATATCATACTTATCATGTTCGAACGTGTCATTTAACTTCGCCGTTTATTGAAGTCATGCAATACCAATTCGGTATACGTGAAGCTAGAGAAACGACCGCAAGCGCATCATGAGCGTGGCATGTGGTCGTATTCTTACACGACACGCATATTATGATTATCCCGTCTGCACCAGTCACATACCTTCGTCGTCCATTCACGTCCCGTAATACCAAACTTGGAATATGTGAAGCTAGCGAAACGGCGGGGAGGGCATCATGAAAGGCCCAATATACTGCGACGTAACCTTGACGAGCACACGCTGGGCGCAGCGATGTTACGCTCATGGAGAAACATACATACGCTAGCAAAACGCGAACACTCTATAGTCTGACGACAGACGCGACCAGCGTCTGTGGGCGCAGCCCGGCGGAAACCGGGGCGAAATGCGACATGCTGCATTTCACACCAACGACGTTACCCAGAGTGCACCGCGTCTCTAGCTTCGTGACGAAGGGACGCCGGGCGTCCTCAAACGTGCATGCGTCAAAACAACAGAGTACGGCGCATGCCTGCGAGTATATGCCAGGCAGATCGGCGCCTGGCGTGGCATCGCCGGCATGACGCGACGAAGCGAACGCTGAAGCACGCGCTCACCGGGCCACGTCTAAGTGTATTGGCGCCTTAAGTGCGGCATGTGGTCATGTCCTTACATCACGCACATCTCATAATTATGTTTGCACCAGTCACATACCTTCGCCCTCCATGCACGTGACGTAATACAAAATTTGGCATATATGAATCTAGCAAAACGGCCCTGAGTGCATCACGAGAGCGGCATGTATTCATGTTGTTGCATTACACGCATGTCATGATTACCATGCTTGGACATGTCATTTACATATGTCGTCCGTTCGCGTCGCGTAATACCGAGTTTGGTACATGTGAAGCTAGCGAAGCGGCCGCTAGAGCATCATGAGCGTAGGACGTAGTCATGTTGTTACATGACACGCATCTCATGTTTATCATGTTTGCATCAGTATCATACCTTCATCACCCATTCAGGTCCCGTAATACCAAATGTGGTATAAGTGAAGCTAGCGAAACGGCCGCGAGCGCATCATGAGCGTGGCATGTAGTCATGTTGTCACATGCAACGCATCTCAAAATTATCATGTTTGTACCTTTCACATACCTTCATCATCCATTCACGTACCGTAATACCAAATTTGGTATATGTGACGCTAGCAAAACAGCCGCAAGCGCATTATGAGCGTGGCATGTAGTCATATGTCACATGACACGCACCTCATGATTATCATGTTTGCACCAGTCACATACCTTCGTCCTTTATTCGCATCACGTAACGCCGAGCTTGGTATATGTGAAGCTAGCGAGATCACTGCGAGCGCATCATGAGCGTGGCGTGTAGTCATGACTCATGACTTACATGACATGCATGCCGTGATTTCCACGTTAGGGTCTGTCGCTTGTGTTAGCCATGCAATCATGTCATACCATGCTGTCACACCTGTCCCGTTAATTAGGGAGGCGATCGCCGGGCTAATTCCAAGGGCCGAAGTATCGGCCCCCCGAACCGCACCACGAAAGCGTGGACAATTTAGAAGTGGTCCTTTTTGGCGCGCCAGCGGACGCCGGCTGTGGCCCAAAGAACAAGTCAGAGCCGAGAGTTGATAAACAAACAAATTATATTCTCAATAATGGCAGATCGAAAACAATACACAAAAATGCACACTCCACAATAGTTGCATACAATACGTCACCAAACAAACAACGTACTACACAGTACAATCAACCACACTTGAAACAACGGACACAGACAACAATACGCACTACAATGCAGTCGCATGCATTGAACAACCAAGACACTTAAAGACTAAAGCGATAGAAAACCTATTCAGTCCAAAGTTCTTGGAACCAAAGTCTAGATGATACTCTTCCGAGAATCACTCACTCAAAGTTCAGCGTTGTTGTCGTTCCGCAGCCCTCGAAGTTTCTCTTCCAGGAAACCTCCCGTCTTCAATTGGCCACTCTTCCAACTTCAACTTCTTCGCCGGAACACGTCGGCTTCACACACGCAGCTGTTGCCCCGCGTCTCCGCTCGATAGCGGTAAACACACACTCTTGCCGGTAGCTCGAGTCGTCACCCCTCAGGTGGAAATCCTCTTCACCTCCGGCCTCGTCCCTTCGGACCAAAAACTTCGCCGACTACACGGCGGAATCCCTACGCGCTCTGGCGCTCACTTCCGTCTCCTCCTGATTTCTCGTCTCGGCCGCTCGATTAAATACCTTCCGCGCCACCTTCCAGAAATTTCTCGTCATTTCGTCGGCGCGGTACGCGGCGAAGGCTGAGGGGAGAGTGAGACGGTTCGACAGCCGTCCCCGGAGGATGATTCAACTCGGTATGACCCCGCCCCGTTCGTTCTAGAAAAATCGCGGGCTTGCTGGGCCGCCGATGCGGGGTGAGGAGGTTCGTCTGCGACGCCACGCTTCCGCGGGGAGAGCGCGCGCCCGGGGAGCCTTGGACGTTTGCTTTCTTTTTTTTTTTTGACCTCGCGGCGTTTGTCCCGCCCGTTGTCGCAAGAATTTGGCGGCGCGCTCTTTTTAGCGCTCGTTTTGTGACACATGCCAGTTTTGCAACATGTCATGTGAACGAGATCACCGCAAGAGCAGCAAGACCATGAAATGTAAATCATGACATTCATGACATAGATGTCATGATTTTCATGTTACGACCAGTCGAATATGCTCTTCATACAGTCATGTTATGTCATACCAAGTTTGGTATTGATATCATTACCCAGATGGCCAGGAGAGCTAAAAGTCGTAGGCGGCTAGTTAGATAGATAGATAGATAGATAGATAGATAGATAGATAGATAGATAGATAGATAGATAGATAGATAGATAGATAGATAGATAGATAGATAGATAGATAGATAGATAGATAGATAGATAGATAGATAGATACGCTCAAAGTCGCTGAAGTTCGCTAAGAAATGCACTGCATT